GCTGCCCGCCCTGCGGAGTGAGTGAGGCCGCGGGGCCGGGCTGCGCGCGCGGGGGGAGCCGCGGGGCTGCGCGGGGTGGAGGGCGCGGGGCGCCCGAGCCTGGAGAGCCGCGCACGGAGCCCCTCTGGCTCCGCTTTCTTCCCGTGTTTTGGGAGACTTTGCAGTGTCTGTTGCTTCCCCTTGCCTGGAGGGAGTGAAGAGGGTTTTTCTCGGTTCCTGATAAACTCCAGCTAACTTTCTCCTTACGATATAAGCAATTCCAACTGCTGCTTTTTGTTTGTTGATTTTGTTTTGTTTCCTTTTTGGGGGGGAGTGGAATGGTGCGGGAAGGAAGTGGGAAATGAGGAGGAAGGAAAGGTAGATAGCTCTGCTCCTGGCTTTGGCAGACACCTCTCGGTCAGTGCTGACAGTGATGAACCCAAGTAAACAGGAACTTGGAGGGGCTCCTCTGCCATCGCTCTCTATTTGTGGTTAAGTGAGGCTGCATTTCTGGATCCTTGGTTTTGGTGACCAATCTTTGTACAGAGCATGCCTGGGTGCTAGGAGCACCCTTTCTTCCAGAGGGTTTTCTGAATCCTGGCAGGGGCTAAAGCACAGGATGTTGTGAGCCTTTTGCCTTGGAGTTGTGAGCCTCCCTTAGGAGCTCTTTGCCGCTAGGTTGTTGGCACAGGACTCCCCAGTGCAGCCAGGAGCTTTCTAACAAAGTCAATATAGGAGGGAGTCCCCAGACCTCGTGGCATCCTTGTGCCACCACTGCCTTCCTGGTGGCTGCCTTGTACAGCTGGGGAACTGAAGCTACCCTTGAAATGGGACTCCACAGCTCAAGTGCTCTTGTCCAGCCATCCTTGGCATAAGTCACCCATGAGTGTCAAAGGAAAGCAGACTGTTACTCATACCCTCCGTCTTGGTTGTTTGTACAGTCTTTCTAAGACCCTTATCTTCTCTCAGCACCCATTACAGTTTTTAAGAGCCTTACAGATAGGGGTATCCAAATATGACTCTGTACTCGGGGTGGAAAATTCCCTGTCTGTGGTGCTGCTGTGTGCAGTGTGGCAGACTAGGGACAGGCTGGGATCTGCTGACTGGACGCCAGTAGGGAGGAGGACCACCCTTTTCAACATCTGCATGAGAACTTCAGCTATGAATCCCCAAACCACACTGAATTAACCTACTAATTAGTGCTAATGACACCCCAGCTTCCTCTCATTTAGCAAATAAGCAGCCTTTAGTTGACCTTGGTTGGTCAGCCAAGAGACTGTTGAAGGAGCTGTCTTCAGTGCTGTAATAAGGCAAAGATCCTCTCTAGTATGGGAGACAAAACCCTTTTCTGCCTGTGTAAGCTGTGGATGTCGAGCATGCCAGCAGTGCCCATGGAGGACTGGGTGGGCTAAGAAGACTGAAGCCAGCACTGACCGTACAGCTTCAAAGAAAGCTCAGAAGTGAAGGCCTAAGCTCCTGCAGGGTTTCTGACACAACGCTTGGTCTGTCTTGGTCTTCTTTTTTTCTTTTTTTTTTCTTTTTTTTTTACCCCCTCTAATTTGCTCAGATATGGAGCTGCAGGAATGGGATAGGCTGCTGGAGTGCAGAAAAGGCCTCTTGTTCCGCCCCATCAGTGAAGAGCTTAGTGCAAGGCAGCTCAGAGATGCTTGGGAAATCCAAGTTTCCCATCTGTGCTATGTGGCACTGTCCTGCTGTGAAAAAATTCTTGATTTTTTTGATGCTATGCCTAACTGTAGGTATGAAGTGCACTGGACCCAGGATCTCTGCATCTCATGCTGTAGATGTAGGCTCTTTGATAATTACAATAATTAATAATTACTGGTTCAGGATGCTCAGGTTAATGAATTGCAAGAGATAGCGCATGAGGAGAAATGCTCATTGTAAAATTTCAAGGCAAAATAAAAATGCTACTCAGGTTTTCAACAAGTAACATTATGAGGCAGAAAAATTCTTGGCTACCTTGTGAGAGGAGCTCCATGGGTTAACTACCCAGGGATTTCAAGCTCAAGGATATCGCTAAGCTGATAGGGGTTCATCTTTTGCCAATTTCCAGTTCCTCAAATATTCTTATTTTTTCAGTGTATGTTCTTAATAAACATTTGCTCGCAAGACATTAACACAGCTGACTTTTGTTCACATGCTTACAGTGTGATGTCACATAGTTAAGTGAAGTTCTATACAGCTCCAAGAAAGCTGGAATGTCAGGCTAAATCCTCAGACATCTGGTGTGGCCCGGGATAGTCATATATTGATGTAAATATGTAGCCAATAGTTAACACTTTAACCCTGGGCCACTGCCTCTTATGATTCAGATAAATCCTACTTTTTTTCTCCTGTCTTATTTACAATGCAAAGTAGGTTTTCTGCCTCTAGAGTTGCAGAAAGTGAAAAATGAATATGACCGAATATAGCAATTTCAGCCTTAAACTTTTGGCTTTAATTGTAATCACACTCTCTTCCCCTTCTGCAGAAGCTTATTTTGCCATGAACAGTATAACTTCTGCTGGACTTACTGTAGTGCTTGGTCCTGTGTTCTTCCTTACTGAGTGTTTCTTGGTGACTAGTTTTTTCTTTTTTTGAAAATGGCTGTTTGGATGTCCAGCTTTAGAAATGTTATCTAGTCTTATTTTTCAGATCTTACGAATGTTTCATGTGTTAAAAACTGAGCTCTCAAAAATGTTTCAGGTCCATACTGAAAATCATTAATTACTTCAATATGCGTGCTTTAAAAATAAATTCACTAGTATGCAATGGGCAGTGAAGCATGGCCAGCACAAACTTAGGTCAGTCTTATTATTTTGGAAGTACCAGTTATTTTGATGGATATATTCATTATTCTTGATGAGCGGCCCAGCTAAAACATTTCTGTCCCCAAAATAATATATGCAAAATTCTACAAACTGACAGTTCTTTTATTCCCCTGCAGATAAAGGCGTATTTATTATCCAAAGTGAGGACTCCAACCGCTGTATTAAAGCAGATACAGCTGGCCTTGTTCTAGAGGACTGCAGTCAACTCTCAAAGTACATGCTCTGGAAATGGGTATCTAATCGTCGTCTCTTCAACGTAGGCAGAAGTACCTGTTTAGGCCTGAACATCAGCAGGCCAGAACAGCTGCTAAGTTTGCTCGAGTGTGATTCAACTCAGTACTCGCTGCGGTGGTACTGCGATGGGAGAGCGCTAGTCGGAGTATCGGGGTACAAGCTGGCTGTGGAAAACGGCAAACGCGTTGTGGCAAAAAAGAAGTCCAGTCATCAGTGGACGCAGTACTTGTCCTTCGGGGAAGACCTGTGTGAACATCCATTTCAAGGTAAAAATAAAAGGTGGTCACATAAATGTACATAGGAACAGTTTTCAGCACTTTTGAAGCAAAGTCAGATGTTTTCAGTCACTTCCAGTCTGTATTGTGGTTCAAGACTCTGAATTTCTTCTTTTTTATATGTCAGTAATTAAAAGGAGAAAAACCCTTTGAAGAGTATGTTCTTCTATTATATGGGCACAAGAAAGGTATTTCTTTACTTGCAAATGAGGAAATGCCTCCTTCACATTCTCTATAGAACAAAAAGCTGAGCTAAGGATATGTTGTTGCCTGTCTTGCAACTTTTATAGTAGAACAGATGCAAGGAAAAAGAGAAAATTGGAATTCAAATCACTGAAAATAACTTTCAGGCATAAACTAAATGTTACATTTGCAACATTCAAAGCTTGGACTCTGAACATGACAAACTCTGGGGCAGAGATCACGCTTTTGATTAATCCTAGCGTAGAACTAGCAAGGAGGTGGGAGCTTGCCTGAAGATCAGCATACCTTAGCAAGTTTCCACATTTAAGGACTAAGATAAACCTGTTTACCATGAACAGAAACACAGCCGGACTGTACCTTGACCTCTCTTGGTTCAGCCTTTCCTTCAGCATTTCTTTAGAGGGAAGGACTGTGCATTTGCACAGGCCATCTCAGAGTGGAGCTGTTGATTCTGCCTACATGAGTTGGCCCTTTGCGTTGCAGAGCTCTGGCCTTCCATGGTTTCTGCGCTGTCCTTGGCCTCTGCTGAAGTCTGTAACTACAAACACTATAGCATCTACCATTTCTCCAAATCCTAGTGGAGTTTAAATTTAAGAAAGATGTTTAGAATGAGAAAAAGCCTTTAAAATGGCAAAAGCAAGGATGACATCTTTGCTGTGTCAACTGAACAAGATGAAAGGAGACCAGGTTTATTCTAGTATTGCAGGAGGCTTCTCGGAGAGGAGGCTCAGCTGCAGGCAGACCCTTAGACTAACCTGCTTCCAGGACCAAAGAACCTAACTGCACCGGCAAAGTCTGTTTCTCTTCCAGTTTGCCTTCTTCTCCCTTAGCACATGCAAATAGAAGCCAGCCTATGAATCCCTGAGATGGGAAGTGTTCTACTCTCAAAGAACAAAAGAATATTTAACTGTGGAGAGAGGAACATAACCATTGAGTCTGGTCTCCTACCAGGACTGAGGTCATGCTTTGCACCCCTGTAGCTAGCAGCATGGTAGCAGACAGGGAGATGCAATCCTGACATTTTTTTTAACCTCTGCTCTTCCTGACACTTACGAGTATTGGAACACTTTGAGGGAGATTTACAGGGTAAAAACTGCTTTTTTTATGTGTCTGCACAGACAGCCATTAACTCTGGGAGCCTCTTGAACACTGACAATATGTCCTGTAGCAAAGGACTTTGATCTTCAGGTTATCAGCACAGGATCTTTGGCAAACAGTTTCAGTCTAAGTGTGATTGTGGTTCTTTAACCTTTCCTAGGAGCTAATACTCTGAGGTTGAGGAGGTACTCAGTGAGTTAAAGCATTTACAGCCATTAATTAATATAACAACAAAGGCATGTAACATCTGCTACTCTTTAGCCAGATTATTATTCTCCATGATACAAAAACTTATTTGAAGAAAGATACTGCTGTTATTATTTCTTTATCTTTCACATTTCCTTTTCCATAGAATAATGGAATGGAAAAAAATAATTTAAAAAATCATTTTAAAAAGTGGGAGGAGCAGGGCAAATCATGCTAAATTGTGAGTTTGTCATGTAGGAGTTACAAATAAAAACCAAACAGAATCATTCTGATGGGTAGAAGCATTCCGATTCTTCTATTATTTTATGTAGTTATTCTCAAGTGTGAATGCAGGTACTGTATAATTTTTTTTTTTTTTTGGTTAGGACACATTTCTTAAACTTACTGTAGAATTCAGCTCACTGAATTAAGCTGCTAGTAATTGTAATAATGCTGTGGTATCAAATCTAAGAAAAAATCACCAAGTAACATTAAAAGAGACATTTTGTTATTGTCACTGTTAATAACAAAAACTATTAAACGTGAGGCCAAAAAATCTCATGGATGTCTTCTTCTAATTTCTGCATTTCTTTTATTACAGAAACGTATACATTGCTGGGAAATTCTTTTGGATTCCCATGCCTTTTTCCCTTTAAGTATAACAACAAATGGTATTATGAATGTACAAGAGATGGAAAAGAATTTGACTGGTGTGCCACCACAAGTCATTATGAGCAAGATGAAAAATGGGGGTTTTGCCCAAATGCTGGTAGGCTGTGCTTATTATCGTTCTTAAGTAACAGTATTTTTGACCTTTGTTAATAATTCTGGGAGAGTATGCTCTTTTGGATTACAAGATTGCTTCCATTAGAGGGGGAGGCATCTCTAACAAACTCAAAGCAGGGTCATAATTTGTATCATAATTCATCATGTTTGGCCTTTGGAGATCCAAGACCTGATGCCAAGAGCAAAACTTCAGAGAATGAGGAAAAACACATGAAGTGCTCCTGCTTTGTGCAGCCTGGTGACCTGACCCTGCAGCTATGCCACCTGTGTCTCTTTCCATCCCAGGGATCTATGGAGAGCTTCTCTGCAGCATGTGAAGTAAAGAGCGCTCTGCAAAATTTCATTCTGCTTTCGACTATATAATCTTTTACAATCCATTTACTACCACGCTTGCATTTTGGGCCTAAAATATTTGAAAACAATAGTTTATAAGTATTTGCTATTTGAAAGATTTTGGGGTATAGAATTCTCTTTAATATTAATTATTAAAAATAGGTGATTTTAGTTTTCCGAGGAGTTTAGCCTATTGCTTCCCTTGGAGTCAGCTCTTGGAATCTTTTGGATCTCTTTTGCAAAGCATGTTACAAACAGTTGAAATTGTGATTTTATAAAATGAATTTCTGGACAACCTTAATAAAGGATAATATTTTGGGCCTTTATTTTATTATGTAATTACAATAAGTTTATTCCCTTGAGGAGGTGGATGGAAGGAGATACTGGTGACTGCTCCTTTATAGGGTGGGTGAGGTGTTCATGGTGTGGGTGTTTCCAAATTGAGCTTTTGAAACAATCAGCTGGTATAAACTTATGCATATGTTTCTTGGTTTCATGAGAGCTGTGAAAATTGCCACGAGTTGCAGATCAGCTACTGAGTATTTATGAACCATATGAAAAATGCAGCAGATTTTTATTCAATAGTTAGTGTCCTATTTCCACTTAGACTTAAACAGAGGAACTTTAAAGGAGTTCATAAACATGTTTCCATTTAGATTTTGCTGCTATTAATCAACTAAACATTATAGACATTACATTTCTGATGGTAGTATGTGCTGTTGGTGATTAATCTGTTTTGGAGCAGAGAGTGGCTGTGACGTCTTTTGGAAGAAGAACCCCGACACGCACATTTGCTACCAGTTCAATCTGCAGTCCGCTCTCTCCTGGAGCGAAGCCCGGGTTATGTGCCAGATGCAAGGAGGAGATCTGCTAAGCATAGTGGATGTCGAAGAGCAGAACTATATAAGTGACTTAAGTAGTGAGTAAAGATGGTGTAGCACTAACACTTGGTTCAAGGACACGCTTGACTCATTGAGCTGGAGAATGTTTGATGTTCACAACTAGTGGTATGGGTTAGGTGTAGTCCCATCACAATAGTGATTCCTGTTTTTTTCTTATAGCAGAAGTTATGAGGGATATTTGTCTTTTTGAAGAATTGCACAAATATTTTATTTCTTTGCTATCCACCATCATGTTGCCATCTATCTACCATAAGTTATGCCATCTACCATAATGTCCAAATGTTATCCTCTGCAAACTCCCCTTGTAAGCTAATGACTGGAACTCTCCAACAGGCTTAAAGCAAGTTTCCTGCATGGAAATATGACAAATCTCTGCTTTGGAAAATGGGTGGTATTCCTTCTTTCATTAAGCTTTCTGAAATTTTCCCCTAAAGAAAGAGTTTCTTACAAATTATGCCTAATTTTCTGATAGCATTTTTCAGGTATACTGTAGGGTGAGTGATGAGCACGAGGGTGAGTGAAGAAGTTAATGAAAGGGGCTGTAGAATTACCCTGTAAAGGCTGCTTCAGGTTTCAATGTCTCTTCTTTCCCAGTGCTACCTCTTATTGTCTATTTTCGATTACAGGATCTGAGAAAACAGTTTTTAAAATGATATCATTAGCTTTCTGAAATGCCCGTGGGTTGTAAAAGGACTCAGTCCTTTTCACGTAAATCACAATCATGTGATTTACATCTCTAAAAAACCTGAAACAGGCTGGCATTTATGCAGCTGTTTTTTATAGGTGTAACTTCTAAAGTCAGCAGCAATTTGTATGTGAGGATTTGCATAACGCGTAGTTTTTGAAGGGGTTTTGTCCCTTTTCTCTCTTTCAGGGCAGCTAAATGCCACAGACGTGGTGCTGTGGACAGGCCTGAATGAGCTGGAGGAAGACGCTGGCTGGCAGTGGTCTGATGGAGCACCGTTAGTGTTTGTGAACTGGACACCAAGTACTTGATGTTCCTCTTGGATAAGTTATAGCAGTGTAATTATAAGCTCTCTGTAACCGCAGCTTAGCTACGAGAGTGCTGCTCCTGCAGCCTCACTTGAGAAGTGAACGAAGGGAACTGGATGCCCCTGTTTGTAGAAGTATTTACCATTCCCATGATCTGAGCCCCTGCAAGGGTTGTGGCATCAGTTGAGATGCGTCTGTGCCAAATATTAAAGATTTGGCTCTTCTGTTACTGACTTCTGATGGTGACTTAACATTTCAGTTGCATAGTTAAAATCTATGCTGTAATTAAACTTGGGGAGGGAAGGTATTTTAATTTGTTTGCATTAACATGCTGTAATTAATATTAGCACATTAACGTGAGCTTCGTAACTTGGTTTGCTGCATTTTTGAGTGTGGCCACCAGTGCATGTACCTTAACACGAGCACTTACTTCAGCTACTTGGCTGATAAGAGCAGCCAAAGAAAGACTGATAAACATATATAAATTAACCTCAGCATTCACCTTGCCAGTTCTACCCCTGGGTATGGTGTGGGTCAGTTGGTGTAAAATCGCTGTAAATTTGGATGCATGGGGATATTTAGTAATTCAGTAAGATGTGGGAAGTGTTGTAACACAACTTTACAAAGAAGTGGTGAATGTGTGTAATTATGTGCTTTTCAAACGTGTTTGCAGATACCTCTGATGCACCCTTTAGTGAAGAACATTGTGCAGTGATAAATTCGAAGTTTAAGTACAGCTGGCAAAGCTATTTATGTGAATCTGGATTGCCTTTTGTATGCAAAAAATATTTAAATAAGACACAGCATGAAACATTGGGTAAGTCCCTCGGTGGTAATGTACTTCAATGATATCCTCTTTGTGGGTATGGAAGAACATACTCATATGAAGTGTACATTTTATATGAAGTTTTCAGAGCACAGTTTTAGCTGTCGTATGGGTTTGCTGCTTGAAGCTGAATGCAGTTTTCCTTAGCTGTAATACTTCTGTTCAAATGCAACATGGAAAACATGCTGAGGACCTCACAACTGCCAAATCATTCTAATACGCATGGTATTTATTTGTTTTCTTCCATAAATAAAGAGATTTACCTAATTCATTCTCAGTAAATTATAGTAGAGCCACACTTCTAAGTGTAAAAGGAGTTTTTTAGCTCAAAATAGAATTAAGCAATTGCCCACTGAGAAGAAAGTTGTATAAATGCAACTCTGGATTGGCAATTGATTTTATGGAATGCTGTACTTTTCACATGTTAAAAATGCATTGTGCATTTTTTTTAAAGCATGTGTATACAGTGTGTGCAGGAGAGATATACAATACCTCAGATTCTTATTCTGGGAGAAACTTAAACGTAGGATTCTGTTTATTAGAATGTTAATTTTAATTTTTGGTAGGAATAGGTCATGCAGATTCGACTTTTTTCCTGTTAAATAAAGTTTCTCTGCTTGCATCAGATAACAGAAAAGAACTTACCCAAACATTTTTCAGCTAAAGCATCTGAAAAGGCTTCTGGAGGTTCTGCATCGGGTACAAACATAATAGGGGAAGTACTTGTTTCAATGTGGGCAACAGTTCTCTTGTTACCGTACAACAGCCCAAATGGTTGAGTCATAAACTAAGTGGGAGAAGCTTCAGTTTGGTCTGCAGATGGCATTCCATGGGATGTGTATTTTGTCCTCCTTAACTCATCTTGGATGACTTTTGTTTTCAGTTTCTGTAAATAAGAAAAAAGCTCTGAATACATTATGAACACAACGTAATCTTGGCAATTTTATGTAATTTACTCTAACCTTTTCTACTTAATTAAAAGATACGTGGAAATACTATGCTACTCGTTGTGATGCTGGCTGGTATCCATACAATCGCAACTGCTACAGACTTGGTAAAGAGGAGAAGAACTGGAGTGATGCTTTTTTCTCGTGCCAAAGTGACAATAGCAAGCTCATTAGTTTATCCTCCATGGCAGATGCAGAGTTGCTCCTTGACTTGCTTAAACATGGTGAGTCTGGGAATGTTTAAACTGCCTCGTGTGTCTTGAAGTATTCTGTGGTGCATTTCTAGATTACTGTTTAACAGGTAGCTATCTTAACATTGTTAGCTATATAACATTATTGTTAAATTATAGATTAAGGAAAGGAAAATAGAATGTTTTCTCCTTCTAAGTTGCTTAAAAATTATAGTTCAGCTATGTCAATGAATTTACTTTTTAAAAAAAAAAAAGAAAAGAAAAAATAAATGAAGTATATGTGTTGGAACACAACAAAGAGTTACGTGCTTGGTGCAGTGTTAAGGAGTCCAAATAATGTGTGACCAGCAGCCTTACGTATTGAGATTGTGTGGCAGTTACATTGGAGACATGGCAAGTGATATAGTCAATGGTTATAGCAAAAGTCAGAGATCCATAATAAAACAGATTTTTTTTTTTTTTGCCAAAGCCCTCGAATGTCTCCTCATAAGCCGTCAACTGTTTAACTTTTGCCCTTCCATGTTGTTGGCTGTTTTCCTGCAAACTGTTGTGAAATATCTAGTGAGTGTTTATGCCAGAATTGTGCTTTAAAGCAACGACATCTTTTGCTTTGGAAGTTGGCCTTACCTAATCGCAAAGTTTCTACTACTGCTATTTTGGCAGAGTGCCCTTTGATGGGCACTGGGTGTATCAAAGAAAGAATAAGTTCTGCTAGTCCATGTTGTCTGAAGAGGTAATGTCATTATACTAAGACTTTAATGAATAAATTGCTGGTGCTGCAATACCGAGAGTTTAGTTGCCATACCAACGGCAGAAGAGATGTAAATATTTTGTATGGCCAGATGATGACATTGTTTTGGCAGAACTTCATAATTTGGCCGTGACTTCAAGCTTTGCTGAGCACAGGGCACAGTGACATGTTTTATCAGCTGAGCTATCCTCTAAGCTGTGGGTGCAGGACAGTGCATTATACTGCAGTAACGGAGCATTCTCCCCCTTGCCTTCACCACCACCATCTCCACTGTCCTGACTCTCTTCCTGCCAGGTGAAGAGGATTTCAAAGCCTCTTATCACATGCTTATTTATCTCTGAAACTTTTTAGTCTTAAAAGGCAATAGAGCATTATCTCTTAATCTGTCCTAAAATTCGTGCAATTTAATCATTTTTCTTGAAAAAAGGTAATTTTGACTGAAGTCCCGTGCATGGTTCTTAACAATGATGTGATGGATGTTATAAAAACACTAGGGATTATTTTTTCATTGTTAATATATAAAATCTCATTCCCTTCTAGAAAATGCAACAGAAACGTGGATTGGATTATACAGCAATAGCACTCCAGTTGTCTTTCAGTGGTCTGATGGCACCCCAGTGAAATTCTCAAACTGGCACAGCCAAGAACCAAATATCTTTCACAGTACAGGACAGCTCTGTGTTTCAGCACAAGGATCAGTAAGTTTCCTTTTCTTACAGAAAGAATAAGACCAAAACCGTTATTTTATTCATAATAATTTGTTTTCTCACAGAGCATACTTTGAAAACTTTTTATGATTTTGTCATTTGATGTCTAATACATTCAAGTAGTGATATGTAGGCTTTAGAGCCCATGTGTAGGCTTTAGAGACAATGTAGGCTTTAGAGACCTATGCAATTTGCAGTGCTGATGCAGTGAAAATTAATCATAGATTTTGAACTTACTGTCAACAGAAAAAAGTTACATAAGCTACAAATATCAGTAGGTATTTTGATAAAGTGATTTTAAATGAGTAATATGCATTGTAATTTATGATGTATAAGATTAATCTCTTAAAGCTTTAAATTCATATTTTGAAAAACTGTGCCAGCTGTGCCAGTTTTATGTCAGTCTCAATACTTACACATTTTATGAAGCCTCTTTCAAAAACAGATACTAATCTAGATCTACATAAAATGACAAAAGTTGACAGCAGACAGAGCAGATTGACCTCCAATCATTCAGGTGTCTTAAGACTGAGAGTCATGTGCAAATAAGCTTTGCACTCCCTACTTTTGCATCACAATTCATTGTACCTGTCAGTTTTCTCTTAATTTTGTTGGCAGCTTACTTTAGAATACTTAAATTCACTAATATGTGACTCGCATGGAGTCTGAACCAGGGTTCAGAAGAAACTTTTGGTTTTTTTTTTTTTTCTTAGGAGGGACGATGGAAAGTTAAAAAATGTGAAGACAAATTTTTTTATGTTTGTAAAAAAGCAGGGGAAATTGATAATGTCCCTTCTGATGTGTCTTCAAGGTGTCCAGAGGTAAGTGTAAATAGTACAAAAATGCAATAGTTAAAGCTTAGTGCAAGATCAAAAGCTTTTGCCAGATGCTTTTTAGGGATTGTTGCATTGTCAGTGTTCATGAGCAATTCCTATTTCTTTTTAGTTCAACAGTGAAAACACTGTTGTACACCATCTGCACAAACAATGGCTGATATATAATGCCTTATCCCACACATGGTTTTCATACATTTAAGTGGAATGTCAGGGTGGAAAACAATCAATTTCTTTGATATGGAGAATGAACTCTACCACTCATATGTTAGTGCTTCTTTTCCTTTCAAACAAAAATTGAAAGGAGCAAAACTATCGAATTAGAATATTATAATATGTCTTCAGGATTTTACCTTCTAATACTAAAATGTACATGTTAAATATATTTTTAGTGCCTTTATTGCCTTTGCCTTTGTGTATTTTCTTTGTGTATGACAAGTGATCTTGTAGACTTGATGGTGTTAAAATTTTACTCAAAACACTTGAAGAATTTTGAGAGGTTTTTTTGTTTGTTTGTTTGTTTGTTTTTGGACCATCATCTCTTTTCTGTAACTTGCTTTACTTCTTTAGCTCATCGTCTCTCTTTTTTAACTGCCTCTCCTTTTTTTCTGGAGAAGTCAAGAAATATGGTCAGTTTAATTGCATTATAAGAAATCAGTCTGAATAAAGATCATTATGAAATTTTAGAATGTCTTTGCTTCATTTGGACCATTGTATTTTTATCACTAAAGAGTTTTGACTGTTGATGTAATAAGAAGCTTATTCCTGGCCACAAAAGGAAAGTGCAGAGCATCAAGAATGCCACTTGTCAGGAGCCTCATGCTTCAGCATTTGGTACCTTCCAAGAGCAATGCTCAAGAAATTGAATTATTGGTCATAAGCAGGGTGATAGGCTATGACAGCCTGCCTATTTGGGATAAATTTCTGCTTGTATGAGTTCCCTACCCTGTAAAAACATGCCAAAGCTTTAGTTCCTTGAATTATATTCATTTCATCAAAAGGTGTTGGTAATAGATTTAAAGTTACTTTTTATTTTGGACATTTTTTTTGACAACTTTTTCCATTCAGTATATATGGTGTTGCTCTTGATGCTGCAGTTGTAAGCAATGTTAATACAGAAAACTAGTTATTGGGCTAATTTTCCAAGGAGAGCGTCTTTCATCCAGATTTATTTTTGTTACTTTCTTGGTTGCTGATCTATCATAAATACACAGAATATTGGTTGGCATTTCTCACATTTGATCTTTTACTTCATTAACCTCCTATTGTTTTTCGTGTTTGGTTGCTGCTAGATTCTCAGGGAGCTTTGGCCTCAGGCGTACTTGTTTACTTTTATAAAGCTTTCCAGGCTTATCTGTTCTTACTGAGCTTTTATCTTATATTGATTTTATGACTTGATAAGCTGGTTTCTGAAATTTTCTATGCTTCTGCTGATTGGGGTTTTTGGAGATCCAAATTACTGTGGAAGTCTGAGCTTTTTTTTCCCCCTTTCTGTCTTCTTGAGATTTATGCTATGTTATGCACTTTTTTTTTTCCCTTTGCAGTTCAACTATTCTTTTTTTCCTAGTAGGCTATTAATGAGAATAGAGGTTTTGTTGTAAAGGTCAGATTCTTTATGCAGTTTTCCCCTTAGTACTTTTTCAGCATTTTCAGCTGAAATAATTTTTTGGAATTTTTCCTTCTACCAACTTCTAGAATGAGTTGTGGAACTTCTAGCTGCTTGATAGCAGAGTTGTGAATTATTATGTATGAGACCATATTTATACTGGTGACTTTCTTCAGTCCTTTATGCTGTAATTAATGTGTTAAAAAATATAGTACAGTACTATTTATCTTTCTTGCTATTGTAGCAGGGGAGAAGTGTCCTTTTGAGAAGAGAACTTGTATTTGAGAACTGTGAAACCTCACAAAGAAGTGCAGGCTTCAGAATAATGGCCCATCTCGTCCCCTCTTCAGCGTCCCACAAGTGGCTGCAAGCAGATGCTCAGGGAAGGAGCAGGACAGGGCAAAAGTGTATTGCACTTACCGATATTCTCTTTGCCTCTGACCTCCCCAGTCAGGGAATTTCCGGAGTCTGTTGTGATTTGTGTATTTAACCGCCCTCACTGGATTTCCCCTCCAAGTGCTTGTCCAATTTCCCCTTGAACTCATGTGAACTTTGTGCATTTGCAACACCCCTTATCGAGGAGATTTATAAGACCACTACCTTTTGCATGGAAAAAGAAAAATCTTTTGTGAGGAATCTACCATCTGCAATTTGCTGTCCCCTAGATTTTGTACTGAAGTAGCCAAGTAGCCATCCAGATTCATGCTGCTTTGCTGTTTATCCTCCATCATATCCTCCCTAAGTTATCTCTTTTTTTTTGGTCCAAGTCTGCTCAGTTATTCCTTATGTGGAAGCAGCTCTATATGTTTAATCATCCAGTTGCCCTTCTTTTATAACATGTCTTTCTGAAATTAGATATCAGAGCTCTAAAAATGGCAAGCAATGGCCAAAATAACTGTTCTTTCTTCTCTTATAATTCTTTGGCTTTTAATAGAGGTGATGCTTTCACAGAACTTTACTTTCCTGGACCCTGACTCTTCACGGCGAGACTGAGGTAGCTGTCCCTGCTTTACACATGAGAGGATCAGGGAGGTTAGGGACAAGGTAGGGGTGATTCCCAATTGTGCATCTCTTCATATTTATCTCCACTCAATGTTATCTGCCGTTTTATTGTCCAATTATTCAGCCTTAAAGGATTGGATTTCTCAGCCTATGCTTGCCTTCACTACAAACATACCAGCCTGCAGTTCCTCCTGCAATTTTTTCCTCAGTTAAAGATTAGTGTCAGCTTGCCTTTTCTAGTCTTCAGGCACCAAGGAAGCTTCAAGAGAAGGGTCAAGCACTACCTCCTTATCTGCATTCTCTTAGAGTACTTGGATGACTGCTGCATGGTCCAGGTGATTTGTTATTCTGACTGTTTGTACTACAACCTTTCCCACAGTTAATTTAATTTCTGACATCTTTTGCCCTGCCAAAGAGTAATAAGAAGGGGAAATTTGTTTGCCAAGACACGTGAACAGGAATGAAAGATGCAGAGGCATGAACATACTGCGTGAACAAAGGAGGACTGTGTCACCATGGCTTTTCTTTCACTGCAGTAACTTGAAATGGTGTAGACTGTGTTGCTGTGTCTCCCTCAGCTCTGCAGGGCTGTGCAGGATCCCCATTGTATCCCAGGATGCTGCAGAATTCTCTTTATGTAAAAACATATTTTTCCCTTAGTGAAGTCATAACTCTCTTGTTTGGAGATAAGGGGGATTCTCAGTCAACCCAATTGTTGGCTTATTCACAAACCAGTTTTTTTATGTGACTTCTGAACAATGTGTAGGTATTGTTCTCAGTTGAAAACATAGAAATGGATACTATAGTTCTCTTTGTTTGTGTATTTTTGTGCCATGTGGGAGGCTGTGTGCAGCAGCGACAGCAATCTTCCAAGCACCCAAGGGGAACAACTGTAAAAAGCAGCAGTGTTTTCTGTCAGTTACTGTGCGTGCTTCTAATATCAGTTAAACACATTTCTTAACTAGAAGCTGAAATTTGCCCCCTCAGACTCGGAAGGACTTAAGTATGTGCTTGATGTTTAATAATGCTTTGATTGTGATCCTGAATAGATCTGGAGCATCTTATTATGCGTTTTATTGTACTACAACCAAGAAGGCGCTTATCCATTTCTAGCTTTTCTCCTTTTCCTCTTAACATGACTGTTGAGTTGTGCTTGATGGTGTCTGCCTTCATATTACGCTTGTTTACTGCTCGGCTTGATTTGTGAGCAACTTGGGAAGCAGCATCTCCTTCATGGAAGGAGCAAAGCAGGACTGACAAGTTCTCATTTCTGTGCATTTCTGGAATAGATTACACAAAGATAGTTTAACATCTCTGTATTCCCTTGTTTATTTAAAACACTCCAGCAGGAAGTCCAAGCAAGCATGATACATGTGCTCACATAGGCACAATTCAAACCAGGGGTGGTGTAGTCTTTTTGACATCTGGAGATTGGGGTTAATGAGGTGGGCGTACCACTGGTTCAGTGTTCTGGCTCATTTGCTAAGCCATGAAAATTTATGATTTTAATTGTGCATTGAGTATGAAGATTTCTTTTTTTGTTGTTATTTTAATTTGGAAGTCTTGTTTGAAAAAAAAAAAGCTGAGGAAAAGGTAAATAACTAGAGTGTATTGCTGTTTGAAAAGCCAGCACTGAAGCTACTTGTGTTCTGCAGTAAGTATTTCAGTTTAAAAGAAAGGGCAGTTGTAACTTTTTTTTTTCCCCCGATTATGACTTGACTGAATCTGACATAGAGTGTTTATCTTACACTTCAGGTATTAGATATCAGTAATGAGTTACTACAACATGCCAGAGAGATTGCTGTCTGAGCGGTTTGGCCTGCATCCCTGAGTCAGTAAACTGAGTCAGTAAAACAATATTCAAAGTAAAAAATTGAAACAAATGTAGTTTGGGAAGGATCACCTTAAGGTTGCCCCCTTTTTTGTCATACCCATCAAAAACATTACCTCCTATTTCAAGTGGTGTCAAGGGCTGAGGCAGCTGCATGACAGAGACATGCCTTTCCCTGTCCTTCCAGCACTAGGACCTGCTGCTCCAAATTCTACCTCAGGTCCCACTCTGGAAGGAAGCTTCTTCAAGTCCTCTCCCAGCTCCTGCTGTGGAAGAAGGAAGGGATCATCACTACTGAAGCACGCTTGACTGTTCACCTGTTCAATATCTTATAGCTCCAAATGCTTTACTACACCTTTCTTCTTACCTGTCCTTTTTTTTTCCCTTGTCACTGAATAAAATGTTTTTTTTCCCCACTAAAAATCCTGAAGCCACCTAAAATTGAACTTTGTGTATACTGCCGAGAGTCCAGCTCCGTATAATCAATGGAAACCATACAATGTCTCCAGTAAGATCTGAGTTCAGAGTTCTGGCTGAGGCCTTTAGGCAGCTGGCTTGTATTCAGATCAGGATTTTGACGTGATAGCTTGAACATTTTCCAGGGAAAATATTTTGGTCTTGGTGTGGGGAACACTTTTTTTTTTTTTTTTTTTTTTTATGTCCTGTTCTCCTGTTGGGAAAAGTGAGCTCAGAATCCTCTTACCACTTCCACATACTTCCCATTTTTGTTCCTTAATATTGTTTGGTGCACATACAAGTACGTGAGATAGAGATGACAATATTAGGTAGAATAAGGGAGCACCAGCAAGCCCAGCTACTCACTGTGTTGGTCAACTGTGGTGGTAGAAGGAAAAGGGCTATAGGAACACGAGTGTCCATCAGATGGAAACTGCAACAGGGAATCTAGTCTTTAACAACCAGATTAACTGTTAACTATATAATAATCTATAAAATAATGTTCATTTCTTTTAAGGGATGGGAAAGACATGGTGGATTTTGTTACAAAATCGACAGTACCCCTCGAAGTTTTGAACATGCTTCCAGTGGTTATTTCTGCCCACCTGCACTTGTATCAGTAACAAACAGGTAGTTAATCCTATTAGACAGTGTGCAGATGCTATTAACAAGAGCTATTCTAACTTTAGAAAGTGATGCATGGCAAAAAAAATGTTACTTAATTGTGTGAGGGTTGAGCATAATTACTAACATTGGCTAAAATAAGGAGTGTGTTTTGCTTCATTCACTAATTTAAATTTAGTTTGGTTAAAAAAAGAAAGTCTGATTTACATGCCTAGCAGTGTGCACTTATGTGAGTATGCAGGAATTGAAGCAAAATGCTTTCTACAGAGGTATGCAAGATATTTAAAAAGCTTTTAGAGTGTGTTTGGCAACTTCATTGAAAAGTGATGATATATTCAACTTTTATAATCAAAACATGTCAAATTTTTATTCAAATCAATTACTGTTTTATAAATGTTTCTGTTTAGTTTTGCATTTTACATGGCTCCTCAACAAATAGAGTAAATGTTTGAAAAGTGTTTAACTGCACTGTCCTCCTTTGCTTTGTTTCTATTTATCTGTATTCTGTTTTCAGAAAAGCTTTCTTGACTGCTAATATCCAAATGCTTGGATGTCCCCTGATCTGTCTATGATTTACCCTTTATGGTGAAATCCCATAAAAGTTTGAGACATTTTGGTGTGCCAACCATACATATCTATTTTAAGCCACGTATATTTATTGTAATAATTTTCAGGAAATTCATTAGGACAGGGGAGATACTGTACCCACTAGCAATCAGATGAGTGATGGCCAGAATTTTTAGGATAGTATAGGCTACCAAAAATACGGAACTGAATTAATGGAAATTTTCCTTGCGAGGTGATTTCAGGATTATGCACAGCAAATGCTGTAATATGCTGCAGTACAACAGGGACCCTTACTAGGAGAATAAAGGACAAATTTGGGGCAGCTGTGCATTTACAGCTCAAACTTCATAAGGAGCTAAGGCTGTGCTGTACATCACTGGAAGCATGTGTTCGGATTTTTCTCCATGTTTTTGTTTTATTTTTCTGGTCAAAATAAACAGCCATCCCTCTGTATTGTCCTGCAGTGTATTTCCATTCCCAGTCATAGAGGGAAAGAGGAAGCTAGCTTGCTATTTTATTTTATTTTATTTTATTTTATTTACTGCTTAGATTTGTTCTGGTTGGACAAGTACAAGAACTTTTCCATGTCTTGATCCAAAAATTTTCATTAAGGTGTGCATTTAAGTGTAGACTGTACAGCAAAGAGAACTGGTGTATAGAGAAAGAACATACAGAAGAAAAGGAAATTAAAAAGTCCTCAGTCACTCTCAGAGTTACATTCGGGTTTTGTTGGCATCGTTCTTAGGGTATTTAATCATTCTTCTCACAATGTGTTAAATCAAGAAGGTATTAAAGTCTTTATCAGAATGGGAAGTTATTATGCTGTATATCTTCTCATAGTGAGCTGATTAAATGTGCTAATAAATTAAAGCATATTTTTTGTATAATGCTAAAGCATTTATATCTTAAATTTAATTAAAGTGACAAAGGGATTACTCATGGGACATTTATTACTTGAAAAAGGCCTACAATATTTCAGTGAAGAAACTTTAAAATGGGGAAAATGATTCCTTCTGCAGGCAGTGCCTTGAGTTCTTCAATTCTTCTGATCTCTTAGTGTGTCCTGCTCAAGTCAGATAGTTCTGTGCAAAGCTTTTCCTTTTCTTCTCTGTATCTCTGTGACCTCATTGAACTTTTGCTCTATCTTTTCATCTTCATGCAAGGAGTACCTTATTTTTAGCTATGCATTGTTTCTACATTTCCACAGCCTGCAGCATAAGAGTTGAGCCTCTTAATATACTGCTTTTTATATGTGCCCAGATAGTGTAACATAAAAGGGAAAAAATATGGTTTATGCTACAGATTTGTGCCTAAAGTTGCCTGTAGAATTGTATTAACAAAGTACCTTCTATACTTTTCTCTTTTTACCTTATTTAAATCATGTCAGATTTCAGAGCTCTTCACTGAAATACCAGTTGCCCTGTTTTATTCTAATAAATTTTTGTCTTGATCATTTTATTAAGGTTCGAGCAAGCTTTTATCAACAGTATGATCCATAGCATGGTAAAATCTGAGAAAACTTATTTTTGGATAGGCCTGCAAGACCTTAATAACACAGGGGAGTACTCTTGGCTCACTGTGGAGGGGAAGACTCGCTCCATGAGTTACACAAACTGGAACAAGCACCAGCCACGTGAGTAATGCACTGATTTAAAAAGTGATGGAGAGAGGGAGCCACTGTCAGCAGGGATTGCAGAATCACAGTCCTGCCTTCTCGGCTTCTTGCTTTCCATAGACTTTGTTAGTGTCTTCTGCAGGTTTAGTCAGGTTAGGTTAGGGGAGACTTGACCTTCCTTCTCTGCTTTGTGCCTGGGCGCTGTTCCAAAATGTAAGCCTCTTCACAATACCTCAGGATAGAGATATAAATATTAAAGCACTCCAAATCAGTTAATTGCTTCTGCATTTTGGACTCTCTGCTTTTGTGCTTTACTGCTGCATTTTCTAAAAATTGTGTTTTATCGCTAGTATTTTGTGAAAAGAGTCTTGTATCATGGTGAGGTCAGCCCAGGTCAGTAAGGTCAGGTCAGGCAGACACTGGCCAGGGGATGCTATTTTCGTAAGTTCACCGAGCTCATATCCAGGACCCGATGCTAACAGAACATAATTCATGAAATTCAGGTACTTTTTTCTCATACTCACAACTCGCTCTCTTGTTTTAGGCCATTCTGGGGGATGTGTGGCTATGCGAGGAGGGAACCCTGTTGGTTACTGGGAGGTGAAAAACTGTAAGAACTTTGAAGCGATGTCACTGTGTAAGCAAAAAATCTCATCCTATGAGGAACCTGAGCTTACATTTCAAAAACATTTGAGCTCCTGCTATTTTGGATGGGAGTCAGACAGTAATCTGCTCAGCTGCTACAAGGTAAAAAAGAGAAAGTTGCTTTGCGTTCTCTGTTTCTGTGTCATTTTTCACATGTCATTTCTAAAATCATTTTGATAAAGCTTTATTTCTTTTATTCAGCAAATAACATTTAATTGTTACCATCCTTCACTGTATTTTAAAGTAAATGAAAGACTTAAGATTTGAAACAGAATTATAGACCTTTATTGTAGAAGAACCTGCAAATAATATTTGACTTTTATGGGCTTCTGAAACCACTACTGTCTAAAATCAGCCTTTTTTACAGGGGTGTTTATTTCATTGCAGATATTTCACAATGAGAAAGTTCTGATGAGAAGAACATGGGATGAAGCAGAAACGTTATGCCAGGATTTTGGAGGACATCTTGCTAGTTTTACCCATATCTATGAGGAGGAGTTCTTAAATAATTTATTATATACCATTTTTGATAGGTAATTCTTAATGTCAATCACTTATTTTAAACATAATGGTATGTAGATGAATTAAGTCCTGCTGTCCTCTTTACTAGGGTCATATAACTTAAGTGTGTCCTATTGACTAACATGAACTTAGAAACCAGTGAAAAGTAGTACAATAACAGCACTGAAATATGATTCTTTTTAAAGATTTTCTTTGTAGTAGATGCAGAGCAACTGTTAAAGTCAGCTTGACATTCATGTGAGTTAACAGTCACCAGCTGCAATGGAGGTTATGCAGTTTTACTATTATTTTAGATTTTTTCCTCTTTAGTACTGTAATTTAACCTTTTAGTTAAAAAAAATGCTTGAAAGAACCACAAAATATGAATAAGTGTGTATGCATTATAGTGTGGTTTATTATTATTTACATTATAGTGTGGTTTATTATTATTTACACTATATAAAAATAAGCTGTGAAACAGTGAAGGAAGTGTGTCAGAAATGCTGGGTTTTTTTTTTTCATCACAGGACAGAAGAGAGACAGTTCTGGATTGGATTTAATAAAAGAAACCCATTTTCTAAAGGGTCATGGCAGTGGTCTGATGGAACAGCGGTAAGTAAGTGTATACTGTATATACCAGTAACCTTTCAAATCACACCTGAGGATGAATTCACGGAAACAAACCATGTGAAAAGACAAATGATGTGCAGAAGCACTATTGTTTTTAATGCCCACATACTTCATTTAAAGTAATTTTTACAATAGAATTAATAGTATGCTCTCTAGGTAGCTTGCTGTGCAAAAGGGTTATGCAAAAAAGATTTGGGTAGGATTATAAAGTTTTGCAGACACAGGCTTTCCTTCAAAGCAGGTTGTATTTAACCTGGGACGAGGTATAGGCAGTTCTTTTCTGCTGGAATATAGAGGCAATGGTACCACACGTGTATAGGTGACCATTTGGAAAGCTTTGAGGCTGTGCTTATATGCCTTATTTGTCCTTTGACTTAAATTGATGCCTGCATTCAAAGTTAAATCTTCACTTTTTTAATACCACTTTTAATTTTACGTCTTCGGACACATTGGTGCCACATACTAGTCAGCTGTTAGTACTTGGGAATAATCGAATGTTGACCAGCTGAGAATTTTGATTAGGAGGAGAAAGGGGAAAAGGAAAAAGTTGATTGATCCAGCCAAACTGAAGGAAAGCTAAGGCTGTCATTGGATGAGTTTCCACGAGTTTTTTACAACCCCCTTGTTCAAAAAGCTGCGTTTGTAATATGGGCCCTGCATGTCACTATGAAGTTATTCGAAAAAACAATAGATATTTGGAAGCACACAGAAGGGTCAGTTTTTAAACTATAACTGTTTCTCAGCCTCAACAGAATGGTTGTTAGCTCTGCCGTTGATATTTAAGTGATTTCAGAAAGTAAATGCAAAATTTAGTCATGCAACATGCAAAACAAAAGAAGATGCTGCTGGTCTTTGGGTGACCTCTGTCAGTCGGTCGTCGATTGCTTATATGAGGAAGGACTTTGGTATAAGGTGGGAAAGTTGATTAGCGCACTGAAAGGACATAATTATGGGGCTCATTTTAGCCTTTTATCACCATAAAAATGCTTCACCACAGACGCACCTCTGAATTATTACTTTTTCTCCATAGTGTGAGTTTGCAGTGCTTTATTTTGGATTGTTGGGGAAAGGTAATGAATGTGCTGTTTTCAGGTTGTATCTTCATTTCTGGAGAACAAGAATGTTGAAGATGACTCAAGAAACTGTGCTGTGTTCAAAGTAAATAAGACAGTCTTTCCAGCACACTGCAATGAGAGGCGTGAGTGGATTTGCAAAATAGCAAAAGGTGAAAGAACTAAACACCACTTTTTTAATTAACGTACATTGCATGTATTTGTAAATAAGAGGAGAGAAGTAAAAGAGTGTAAAAGTGGTGTGTTTTTTTTTTTTTTTTTTTTTTTTTTTTTTTTTTTTTTTTTTTTTTTTTTNTTTTTTTTTTTTTTTTTTTAAATCTGCCTCCGGATTTCTCATTGATCTTTTGTGTGAAATCATAGTGAAATTGCATGTGACCTGTAGTGTTTGAAGACCAGTTAAGAGGCATGATGTATGCATTAGGTTTCAAAATGACTAGCAGTAGGAGGTAATAAAAGTTCTGAAAATTATGTTGCAAAAAACGTTCTTTAGTGCTTGGGGTTACTATTTTATTTTATTCCATGTTTACTGCTCTTTTCTTTGTCTTTAAATAAGAAGGGGTAGTCTTCATGATTGCTATTAAATTTTAATCATGTGATAAAAGCAATTTGAGTGAAATATCACTTTTCATCCTTAAGCTGAAATGTTTTACTTCATTTATTTTGCAGGTGTTAAACCAAAGAATCCAAACTGGTACATATCCGGTATGAAAATATTTTCTTTTTTTCAAACATTGTACTTTTGAAATGTAGATTTTATTTTGAAACATCTTAGTTACGTTATTTTAAGTAATAGCTTAAATTACATTAAGTAACTTGTAGGCACTTGTTATGGCTGAATATCTGAACTGGTCACTGATTCTTTGCTTGTTTTTCAGAACTTCCGTGGTCGTATTACCAAGGAGCAGAATATCTTTTCCATGTAAATCCTGCAGACTGGACCAGCTTCGAGTTCATCTGTGGCTGGCTTCGTAGTGGCATAGCAACTATAAATTCTCCTGAGGAACAAGCCTTTATTCAAAATAAAATTAAGAAGGTAACAAAAATTACCTTGCAGAGGTGTTTGTGCCGGCATGTCTTGCATGCAGTGTATGTATTTACCCACTTCTTTTCACCCCATCCACCTGGGATCCCTCAGTCTCCCCTGTCCCCTCAGCCGCCTTCTCCTTAAATCTCATGGCTCCTCCGTCATTCATGTGGTGATTCTGCATCCATGAGGATTTCTTCTGCTTTGGGAAAGATGAAGAGCGCAGTGCAGCGAGGTAGCAGTGTCCATAGTTTCCCTACAGGGAGCTGCAGCTGGTCTTCGGATAACTGCACTGAGGGATGTTTCAGGTGATACATTAGCATGAGGTGGGCAATATGCCCAGAGCTTTGAAACTGTATTTATAGTTTTAATCTTCACTGTGATGATTTGAGAGGTTACTTTGGGACAGAGCTGTCAAAGAATGAAGAATTAATGATTTCCCTGCACCTGAATTAAATCTAGAGCTCTGAAACCCAGAGCCGGGTGCTTATGGCTTTGCAAAACAGATTCACTTCTCTTTTGTGTAGGGCAGCTTGGTCATTCCAGTGTTTCAGCAACTTTTTATGATGAGATGTGAATCAGAGCCCTTGTTACTGAACATGTTTATATAGAAAAAGATATCTGATTTTTAAATTTTGATTTCATATTTATGATTTTTTTCATAACGTATTTGTAGGGAAAAAGACATGTGACTCTTAAATTTCAATTTCCATAGGAAAGCAGCATTTCTGTTGTAACTGGTAGGATGTAACAAACAGATTACAACAAAAGAAATAGCTGTAGGAGCAGATGAATTTCCCCCAAAACAATCAGTTTGCTTTCAGGTATACTCAGGAAAGGAAGAAATAAGGAAAATAAATTAAAAAGAAAAGAAAGAGAGGAAAAAAAAAGAGAGAAAAACTACAGTCTTTCTCCCTTATTTGAGAGCAAATATTCTGAAGCTGTAAGGTAAAAGAATAGCCAACCCTGAATATTTGAAAGAACAACCAGTATGGAGTCAAAAATAGCCCTTTACCTATAAATATTCAGTTCTGCTTGCATTGCATGGTCTTCTCTGCTTTTAACTTAGAATAGAAAACAAAAGGGGAAATTTTGTAAGAAGATCTTTTAAAGTTTCCAGTGCATTATGAACCGTTGCTGAAATAATTTTGTATGGAAACACGATGAACCAGATTTAAACCAACAATTCATGGCTGCAATAACATAATGAAATAACACCCTAACTGAATGCAGTGCCTACATCCACATCTCTTACAGGCGATTACACCGTAATTACTGGTGTAATTATGTTTTTTCTGGAAATTTCATCTCAGAATCTGAAAGATCCTGCTATTTTAAAGCCTGCTGATTGTGACTAAGCTTTCCTAAAATAGCCAGGTGCATCCTTAAGTGAATTTAATTCTGCTTTCCTATGGAATTGGAAATAAAGACAATCACTAAAGTACTACTGAGCAGTCTGAATATACTTGCTCTTTAGTTGAGGTCATGTGAGCTGTTGGACACTTTGTCAAAACTCCTTGGTATAGAATTTAAAATCACGTTTTCACAATTTCTTCAAAAACAGTAATCCGTAGCCTGGATGTTATGATTAAAAAACAAAATGAGGGTTAATCAATACCAAATAAGATCAGACAGCATGCCATAGCTGTCATTTATTTATTTATTTTTCCCTGTCAGGAAATTTATTTATTTATGTGTTTTTCCCTGTTCTCTTAATTTTCTATTATCCTGTAAACTTATCCCAATGCTAGCTCAGTTATTTCTGGAAAAAATAAGTGTTTCTCAAAGACAGTGTGGCTTTTCCAATGTTTTGCTTATTCAAAAGCTGTTGTTTTTCTTTGTGGACTGTTTCCCAAAAATCCTCAAACTGTGACTGCAGAGTGACTACCTCATCCTAGCAATGAATCTCACTCATAGTTTAAGGCAGAATTGAGTTAGCTCAGTGCTAAATAGTGCCTGTTTGCACTGTGTGAATTGTATCATTTCTAAGGCTTAAACCCTAATACTCTGCTTTTGCAGAATAGGAATGCAGAACATTTTGAGAGAAAATGGTCTGAAAAGCATTACTGTGAATCTGTCAGTTAAATATGTGTAGAAAACAGTTTGAAAATGTTAACAACTCGAAATATTTTAATTTTAAATTAAAAAAATGCTTGTTATAAATTGAATAATTCTGTGTTTTTAGTAGTTGAAAAAAAAATCACTCTAAGACTACAGTAATTTTCAGACTGAATAGGCTGTAAATTTCCAAAATTGACACCCTTGTTTACAGAGATACATCAGCAATCCAGATTAGCTTGGGACTAAGTCATTCTCTCCTTTTGCAAATAACTTTATTAAAGTCAGTGGGAGTAGTAGCATAAATTACAACAGGCACATTTTAGCACATGTTCACACTTAAATCTAAAGGAGATGCTATACACCTGAGTATGGACAGAATCTGATTTTACAGATTTATTTTTTAGTGACTTAAAAGACATATCTAAATGTTATGTTTTGTTTTGTAGCTATCGAACAGCGATGTTCACTGGTGGATTGGATTGCATGCAGAAAATTCCAGTGATGAATTTCGGTATGAATGCAGTTTGCCTGTTCCTGGGTTGGAGTGGACATGTCTTGTTTACCAGCTGTGATTCATTTTCATAGACTGTTTAGTGGCTGAGTGGAATATTCGAGAGGCAGCTTAAATTCTCATATAAAATCATCCAGAATATATTACTCTTAATTTATTTCCATTTTTCAGTATTTCTTATGAAAGAGGTATAAAATATATAAGCCAAAGTCCTGAAATTGTACCTGACTGTGGTTTTTTTTTTTTTAATGCTTAGTTAAAGAGCACATTCTACGCTGTATCTGCATGGGACAATTTCTAATATAAGTAGTATTTTCAGTCAGGATAGGAAAATGTGTAACTACGCTCTTAACATTTCTGTGCAGCTGGAAAGATGAATCACCAGTAACATACCAGAACTGGGATGAAGGGCGAGGAAGATATCTGCCCAAACTAGGGAAAAGATGTGGCTTCATTTCATCACAAACAGGTTTATTTTATATTTCCCTTTGTTGTAAAACTTACTGATTTTTGTTGTGGGCCTGAGGGGCTGCATTTTTTAATTGCTTTCCAGAAGTGTGTTCCTTTTTGTTGTAGTCCTGTTATGCGTTTATCATTTGGGTAGTTACTTTTATGGTTAAGAAAAGAAAAAGAACAAAATATCATGCGTTTGCTGAGGGACAAAGGTAATAGGACATAAGTGTGTTAAAAATTCTAGTGGTCTAATGTCAACCTAGAATACTCCAGTGTTAATGAATCTTTGTTTTGCCTAAGAATGTTTCATGTGGCACAGCATAAATGTTGATTGATGTTGACATTTTCACAGTCAATTTTCTCATATCCGAATGAACCAGATAGCAACGTTTTGTTTCCTACTGTTCAGTTTATAAACTGTTTTTTATGTCCATGCACAAACAACCTTAAATACTTGTGTCTCTCGCTTATTTCTGATTTTGCAGCCAATTAGCAGAATGATTTTAAATATTATGTTTTGTTATCTGGTAGTGATAATGTAAAGGCTAGCACCAGGATCTGTGTTTTGCTACAATAATCAAAATAAGTTAATGTTGCCAGTTCCAGTGATTTTTATTATCTCACAGTCTGTATTTTCTTAAGATGTGTAAGCCATATGAGAATGTAAAAATCTTAGCTTCTATGGCAAGCAGAATTTTCTTTGTGAGAAGATCATAAAAATCTTAATCCAGCTGCATTCTTGTAATCCCAGAACCAAGAGACAAAACTGAAAAAATATAAACACTTTTTTGTACATAATCTTATGATTCTGATTCATGATTTTCAAATGCTTGAGCTGAGGTGCTATAGTTAGTGTCAGATAAAAGGACTCCTCCCCCATCAGCTGGCTGACAGATGGGAACTGGTCAACAAATTTTTGATAGCACAATTTTACACTGAAAAATGCATTTTCCTTTCAAGCATGTCAGCATTTTATGTCAGTACCTGGATCTTGCCAACAATTCTCAGTGAAAGAAAGTCAAAACATTTTATTTGGAAGGTATCTTTTCTATATACTTTCTTCTTTTTTGTATAATATTAATCTTTTTAAAAATACAGGATGATATAGGCGTATGTTATGTGACTTGCTATAAAGGAATTAGTTAAACTTTCAATTTGGAATAAAAATAGCAACCCCTTCCACCATCAATTCCATAACGATGTGATATATTCCAATGCATTTGATGTAGAAGCTTGTCTTACTCGACTAGTAAAGCATGTAGCTTTAACACTCTCTGAGCTCACTAAGAAAAATATCTATTTTTCAAGTCAATGTTGAACTGCAATTTTTCTATTTTAAATAAATATATGATTTTATTTTTTCCACAGGACTCTGGGGTGATGAAAATTGTACCGTTTCTCTTCCCTGTATTTGTAAACGTAAATTTGCATGGAAAATTGAGAAAGAGATTCCTAAAGACCAGAATCACCAAGGAATGTGTCCCAAAGGCTGGCTGCACTTTGGAGTCAAAGTAAAACATTTATTTTTCCTTTGATTATTCAAAATGCATTATGTATTTATAACAGAAATTTCTTAAAGATTGTTCAGTATTTGAAAATTTTCATCTCTGTTGAAAGTAGAACTCTGAGATACATAAATACCAGCACAGTGATAGAAAGGCTTGTGGTTACTTAGCAGCTTTGCACACATAAGTTGCCTTAATAGAGCGTTAAAATTTTTACTGTAAGTCAAGGAAATGAGTATTCATATATGCAAATCTATCCAAATGTATTTGTGCCTTTGCTGTCAAAAAGACTGTTACATGTTCCCTTTTCCATTTATGACAACTGTAAGAGGCTTTAATGACCTGAAAAAAAATTACCCTGACATCTCCTTAAACTAAATGGATCCCTAGCTGTTGTCATCCTCTTAAAGACGTTTCATATAGGGTTCTTCAAAGGTAACTGTAAAACAAAGTCTATTTGCAATTGAAGGTTGAAAGGTAATTATTTGTTCAAGCCTTTTAAATGCATACGTTCCTGAATAGCAACATGCATGGAGAGGTGACCAAATTTATCCAATGCTAAACTGCAGTGCCTGCAAGGCTGGCTTTAACCCAGATGGTATTTACCTTTAAACAACTGAATTGATTCCAAGCCTAATTGGTAGCAGCTGAAAATCCCTACCAAGAATGTAGAAGAGATGCATTGCAGAACAGAAACTAATGAAGTATTTACTTTTCCATAAAGTGTCTGAAACATTTGAGTGGCCCTGATTCAGATCTTATCTGGCCCACCTGGTGATACTCACAACTTGATGGTCTTGGCAGTCTGGGAAGGAAAGCATTAGACATTGAAAAAGCATATTGTCTTTGGGAGATGTGGACCTAGCAGTCTTAGTAATTGGTAAATAGCTTTTATGCTGGAGGAAAAAAAATTATTTTTTATTTTATTTTATTTTATTTTATTTTATTTTATTTTATTTTATTTTATTTTATTTTATTCTATTTTATTTTATTTTATTTTATTTTATTTTATTTTTATTTTATTTTATTTTATTTTATTTTATTTTATTTTATTTTATTTTTTTGAAACAGTGCTTTCTGATACAAATCCCCAAAGATCCTGACCACCTGAGAAACTGGTACTCTGCACAAGCCTTCTGCAGTAGATATGATGGGTCACTTGCACTTCTTGATGATGAAATGGAACAAGGTAGTGTTCTGAAATAAATACATTTTCATCTCCATTATGATGCTGTAGTAGAGTTCAGTGTTAAGTACAGAGTTAAGAACAAAGAGTGCTTAGACCCTGTTTGTAGTTCCACTGCTTTAACCAAGTTGGTAAGTGTTTCTCTTTCCCAGTTTCCCCAAATGTAAGGAACCAGATATTCACTGAACTGTATGAGAGGTATGTTCTTGGAATTAATTTTAATTTGTGTTATGCTTTTTACCAAAAAGAAGTGCCAAATTAATTAAAAAAAAAAAAAAAAAAAAAAAAAAAAAGGAACATCTGCTTAACAGTTTTCCTTGTAAAGTTCCCGTAGTATGAGAGCAACATCATAATTTTGTAACTTTGTCCTTTAAAAATCTGATCTATAATGTAGGACATAAGATCTGAGCTGGAAATGTTAGAAAAGCCAATGTCAGCACATTCAGATATTTTTGTGATGATATCCATGGAAAAAAAAATCTGGCTAAATTTGATATATTTGTAAGTTCTCTTTGAGGGAATATAATAATCTCTCTTCATTTGAGAAGTTTTATTTTCATCTGAAGTTTAGAAAATCTTTTTCCAAGAGAGTGTATCCTGCACAGATGCTTAGATTGTTCAAACTACTGTGAAAATTTCTGGAAGATTTATTACCTCACATGCCTGATCCTCACCCAGTTGAAGTTCATCAATTTGACTCCTTTTATAATTAGACAAATTAAATGCAATCACGTTCCTACTTTCTATTAAATATGTAATGTCATTAGTCATGGATTGTATTTTTTAGTGCTCTGCTAGGAGAGTCTTCAGCTCTGTCTGAATCGTTAGGAATAGATTATATTTGATATTTTAACTCTTCATTTTCTAGCTTTCATAACAATGAATCTGTTTGGATGGAAAACAAGTGTTTGGATAGGTTTGCAGAGTGAGGATTATGAAAAATGGGGGAATGAAAATTCTCCGACATATTCCAACTGGTCTCCAGTTGATGTGGCCTATGTAAGTATTTCCTGCGGTTTATGGTCAGTAAGGAGCTGTTTTATCCATAATAAACATGATAGCAATGAAGGCAAGGCCTAACTAGTTATAACAATTACATATTCTCAGACTTTGCAACTTCAAACAAATGTGGGTGCAGATTTACAAGCATAACTATTTGCTGAAAAAAGAAAAAAAAGGAACTCTAGATTTTTTTTTAATGCATTTTATGCAATTTGTGGCTTCTAGTCACATTCTCTGGCAATTGCCTATAAGTGCCATTAAATAATATGGTCCACAACTTGCACTAGCTCTGAGCAAAACTGAGGAATAAGATTGTGAATTTCATAATTTATTGTGTTATTTTGCATCAAGTTAGTCAGTGGCCTAGCAGTTTGTTCAGTGACATTTTGTGACTTTTTGCTATGAGGTTGTTATTTCAAATTGTATTTATAGGAATGTTCATTGCTCTGCCTAAATATTTATAATTGCTCAGTTATGCGTTCTTTCTAAAAACTGTCTTTTTTAATTATTGCTAATTATTGATTACAGAGACATGGTTACAACAGTGCCAGCACTCAAGAGCAAGTTCCATTATGTGCGCTGGTATCAAATAACCCTAATTTTTATTTTACGGGAAAATGGTACTTAGAAAACTGTCAGAAAAATTATGGTTTTATCTGCCAAAAGATTCAGGGTAAGGACTTGTTGTTTGTTTTGCCTTTGTTCTGCTTTCTTACCATGTTTAATTCATTATAATCACCTTCTTTTCATCTGGGATTAGTTTGCCATCCAGGTCTATAAACCCAGGAACATAAAAGATTTCTAAGGTAGTTTCACTTTGACAGACAAACTATCTCTACAATATTTAATAAATCAAACAATTAACTTACACACAATGCTTTTGTTGTTAAATTTTGTTCCTAACTGAGGTTTCTGTTACATATCTTAGATTCAAGGAAAGGGATGAATTTTCACGTTGTGTGTCATGGCAAGGGGAGTAACAGCACGAAAGACAAACCTGTGGGGAGCGTAAATGAAAATCTCCTGCTTTGGTTTTTGTGGGTTTAGCAAAATTAGATCAGACTAGACTCTGTTAAAAAAAAAAAAAAAAAAAAAAAAAAAAAAAAAAAAAAAAAAAAAAAGTATTTCTGTGAACAGTCTAGACTGCTTGGCTAGTCAAACTCAGTGTGGCTTTTCTTTTCACGCTTTTCTGATTCTGTTACCATAACATTCGCTTGCCGAAAACACAGAGCTTTCGCAGGGAACACCCGTTGTTTTGTGTTGGTTTGTTTTCTTCCTCCCCACGCTCTGTTCCAGAGGTGCCTGGTGGGCTGCGAGACGCCCGCGTTGCCAAGAGCGCGCGGGAAGTTTTCAAGCTGCGCCTAGGGGCTGTGCCAGCCTGAAACCACAGCGCACCTTCCCAAAATAGCCCAGCAGCAAATTATTAACCCTGAAGCAGGGGGAGTACTGTAATCTGAGCCTGGGAGGATGTGTCCTTGGGCTATGCGCTTCATGTGGCTGTTTTATATAGCTTGGCTTCATATATCACCTCATAGTTAAGCTCTGTGTCTAAAGGGATGATCAACTCCTGCTGTTTGCCCAAGAGGTGAGAGGGGGAGTGGAGAAGGAGGATAAACAAATAAGCTTTAGGCCGTTCTCATACGTGGCACAGAAAAAACATACATGTACTTGACATTTATTATGGGAACGGCTTCAGGGACTGCTAGAATTAATTCTGTGCCCAGCGTAGGAACAGTTCACAAGTGCATTTGCCAGCTCTGCTTTGCTCTTTGTCCAAAGTGCTTGTGTTTAGAGCCCTTGCTGCTACTCTTTGCAATGGTAAAGGCTTTGCAAGGTGACCCAGGAGGGTTGAGAGCCACTGGGTTACCACAGCGGAGGGGTCCCTCGCCTGCTGCGGACAATGCCAAGATGCTGAGTTGGCGTGACATTCTCTGCTTTTTTTTATTTTTATTTTTTTGTTTGGTGGTCTTTTTTTAAAATTTTTTTTTTTTTTTTAAATTTTGTTTTCTGCTGCGTTTGCAGGCTGCATTGGTTGAGTGCAGGGAGAGGTGCCCACTGGATCTGTGTGTAGCAATGTGCAGCCAGGGAGAAGCGTCACAACCTCTTGCTGGCACTAGGAAGGTGCTAATGGGCTCAGATGTCTCCTCATCCAGCAAAGAGGCAGCGAGGCTTTGCTTCTGCCGGTCTATCTGTATCCCCTCCCTTTGGTCACATTATTTTCTGTAGGAGATTAAAATGAAGGAATCCAGCAGGAGATGTGGCTTGTAGTGCAGTGCGTTAGTGATGTTAATACACATCCCACTTAGACATAAATGGAATGAAGTTAGGAAGGAAGGAAGCCACTTCCTTTTGTAATCACAGTGAAGTTCTACAGGCAGGTACAATTAATACAGACCAGCAAATTAAAACTGAAGCACTGCCTATTTTAAAAGTCTTTGAAAGTATACAATCAAACTTCACGCAAATTAGCAAAGCAATTTGCTTCCTATCCCCTACAGAAGTGGGAGCCGGACAGCAACAGACTGAACTGAAGTAGAGATGTTACTCACTCCTATGACCTGTTTTGCGCAATGATAGAATTTCAGATACTGTTCTAGGGTCTTCTAGGGTTTTTTTGTTTGTTTGTTTGTTTGGGTTTTTTTTTTGGTAGTCTTAAATTCTGCAGTTCCTCGCTGAAACTGAAGTTTGCTATTTTTCATTCATTTTTCCAGAACTGTTCTGATTCTTTAGGAACTGTTCTGCTTCATCAAAGTTAACAGTTTAATTAAAAAAAATCCCTTTTCTCTGTTTATCACAGACACCTCCAGACATGTAATAAATGCATCTGAAATGTACCCAATGCCAGAGACTTTAGAATATGGAAACAAAACATACAAACTCCTACGAGGGAATTTTACCTGGTATGCAGCTTTAAAAGCCTGCATGGCAAATGGAGCTGAGCTGGTCAGCATCACAGACCGGTATCACCAGTCTTTCCTCATGGTCATTGTGAATCGACTGGGATACAACCATTGGATCGGGCTGTTCACCTCGAATGTACGTAACGGATTCTGTATCTATGAATATCTGTGTATCTGCCATTTTTTAAGTAGTGCACTACTGAGCTAAATCTTTAATATGAAGTCACTAGCAGCTCAGATCCAGACGTGAAACCTCCAAATCCTTGAGGCCTGTTTTGTGGCAGCATGATGTATAAATTTTATGAGAGAGAATTTGGTCTTGGCAATATAGAATGCAATGAAAACTGAAAACTAAAAGGCATAGAAAGCACATTTAAAACAAACACTAAGATTCCTATAGTCTCCTATAGCTTCACCATTAGAATTACTTGTTTTCATTTTTGTGGCTATATGAACTAAATAATCTCTTGCTTGAAATAGCAGTTTAGATGTAGTTTGTGGTCTCCCAGAGGTGAGTTGTGAAGATCCTTGGAGAGCTGCCTATGCCTTGTGTTTATAACCCAGCCTTAGAAGAGGTTAAAAAAAAGTGTTGCATCTGGGGAAGGACAACATCAGAAGAAGAGGCATTGCTTATATATAATGCTAAACATATTAGAGAAATAATCTAAATTTGTTTTGGCAGAATGGGCTTAACTTTCAATGGTCAGATGGGACGAAGTCTTTGTTTACCTCCTGGGAAGATGATGAGTCCCAGGCGTTTGGCAGCTGTGTTTATATTGATACTTTGGGGCACTGGAAAAGCGCTAACTGTGAGCGACATCTGCAAGGAGCAGTTTGCCATGTACCACCTAGTAAGTCTGAGTTAAGTTTTAGATTAAATGTTTGAAGCTGCAGATGAATCTATTGACAGTGGAAGTAATGAAAGGAAATGAGTTGGTTTGAGGCTAAGCAATGACAAACATTTTCAGCAGGAAAAAAACAATATTCTTGAAAAATAAGATTGGCATTTCCATACTACAGGTCCTATTTGTGAAACCTTTTTTCTGACCCATAAAATATTGCAGATCAGGTCTAGTCTGTAAGAAAATGCACAGAGAATTTTCCTAACAGGAAAAAAAATGGAAAATTGCTGTTCTGTTATTCAGTGAACACTGTTATCTGTGAAAAATAATAACTGTTAATAACTTAGCTCCAAGGGAACTGTATTAAGTTTGCTGCAATTTACTGAGGAGATGGGAGAAGATGAGCATTTACAGCAAAATAAAAAAATTGGTCCACTCTTCACTGCTTGCACACAAAGAAATTGCAATGTTTACTGTAAAGGCGAGATTCTTTTCAAGAATCCTAAAATAGACTTTCCTTCTTGCAATCCTCTGTCAATTACCTGGACTTCATTTGAACCCAGAATTCAATCCCGGAATCTCATTCAGTCCAGGATTGTGGAGCGTCTTTGGCAGCCTCCAGTCCTGAAAATAGCTCCTGTTTGGTGGGATTGATTACCAGCCACTCAGCATATTGCTTATTATAGGGTTTGGATCTCTGGAGAAGAAAGCTGCGTTGGAATCCTTCAAGACAAAAATTACTCTCTAACTTGGACTTTGCTATAGCAGCTGACTCTAATTTTCTAATTGGTTTGTCTAATTATGTAATCATATGTTGCCTAAGGCTTATCTAATACTTAAACATAGTGTTTGCCCACAGATACCTTGAAGAAGGATGTCTGCAAGACTCAGGGTAATAAACTGATTCTTTTTAATGTTAAAAAAAACAGCTAGCTTTTTGATCAGAACAACAACAAATTTTTCGTGTTTTAGATACAATGTATACAACCCCTAGATCCTGACTTGGAAATGTGGTTAAAAAAGCATAACACCATCCCATGCTTATTAGCATTATCTCCCAACGATGTGTGGAACGTTATATTAATGTGTATCTTGTTGTGCCAATAAAGCTGTGCTGTGATTTCTGCCACAGAAAAGAAACTCGCTGACTATAAAGGCTTATGTTCAGAAAAAACTGTTCCCTGGATCAAATTCAAAAACAATTGCTACAGTTTTTCCACAGTTCTGCACGGCACAAGTTTTGATACTGCATACGAGGTCTGCAGAAATCAAGGTAGGTATTTATTTTCTAGATATATAAAAAGTCATATTTTCTTGTTAGCTTAAAAAAAAACCAAAACAACAACAACAAAAAGTATTTTTTAAAATGACGGAAGTCATGGCTTATTTTTGTTCCAATTCAAGGTAATGGTGACGGAACTAATAAGCCAACAAGGTAATTGGAAACTAGTACAACATACATCAAAATTTCTTTTCCATGTGAAAATACTCATTTCTGGAATAAAATAGAACTTTTTTTTTTTCAATCTCAGACTTTTTTAAAAATCAAATAAAAATATTCTTATCTGCATGTTCATATTAATTGCAAATTTTAAATGTTACAAGTATAGCTAGAATTTTTAAGCTTTTGAATTAAGGTTCTCAACATTAGATATTTGATACGTAATTTTTTTAGGCATGGTTTGTTTAAGAATTTATTCTGTGTTTAATTTGTAGGATCTAATCTTTTAACTATTCAAGATGAGGATGAAAATGCCTTTATTCTGGAAGAATTGCATAATTTTGGTTATTCTGTGCAAATGGTTTGGCTGAACGTTCTGCTTGTAACAGACAGTAAGTTTTGGGTGGAAGAGAACTGAATATAATAATCTGGGTTGTTTTATTTTGTTTTTATTTTAATGCTGCTAACTATGTTCCAAAGAACTCTTCTTTGTTTATTTTTTTTTGTTTGTTTGTTTTCGTTTCTCCCACTACTTATTATCTTCTCTTGATGTAGTGAAATAACCAAGCTTTCAATAATCATTATTTGATAATAGTCTCAGTACATAATGCATATATGCGAATGCCTTTATTCTTTCTTCAAAAAGAATATTTCTTGAGTCAACTAGGTAATGTGTTTTTAAGTCCTTGAAGAAAGTGGAAATTAGTGGCCAGATAAAATTCTGGCATTCCTTCAACAATAAAATATTTTCTTTGCTAGAGTAAAAGCAGCTGAAGCAGAGATGCGTATTAAAACAGTGACAAGTTTGATAATGATATATCACTTCTGTTCTTAGATGAGACAGTATCCTGGTTTGATGGTTCTCCTTTAAATTATTCCAACTGGGGCATCAGGGAGCCTGAATTTGACCATCTCAAAGGGAATTTCTGTATCAGCTTGAGGACCACGGATGGAATATGGCAGTTATCTCCTTGCAGAGAAAAAAAGGGATTTGTGTGTAAAATGGATGCAGGTATGCATTTCCCAAAAAAAAAAAAAAAAAAAAAAATTATCCTTGTAACTAATGTTTTGAGTTTGTTGCTGCTCTCTTAGTTTCTCCTAGCTTTCACTGGAATAATTACACCCTTTATATTAGGAAAAAAATACCCTAAAAATAATAATTCCAGTGCTGCAGTCCATCGCTGATTTTGCCTGATGTGTGGGCGGTTTATATCCCTCCCGGCACGGTTGAGCATTGCTGAATTCCCAGAGCTGCCAGGCTAATCTCATGTTGAGGAACCTGGCAACATTTTTCATATGGAAGACCACTGTAGACTTTTATCTTGCATCTGTGAGCCCTGGTGAAAAGTCGTGTGGCCTCAGCAGAGCCACAGTGCATGGAAGCTGCAACTGCCTGTGTAAACCTGCCCACTAGGAATGTGTGTCTCTGAGTATTTGGAGAGACCACCCAAAATGCCCAAATCACTGTTGGATTTGATAGTTAGATGTGATCTACCTCTGCACGGTTCTGCTCATGCATTTATACTTTTCTAAAGTGTGTAAATATTGCTTTTCCTCCTTGCACAAAATGCCAGTTAATACATTCCATGAAATTTAAGGAATTTAGGGTGACAGATTATGTTTAACTAGATGTTTTGAAATCCTACCAATGTAAGTAAAGTTAAACAAGGACCAGGCTGCTCCTGGTTGTTTTTATGTATGTTGTCTTCTGAGTATTAATTTTACAGTGATTTTATATTAAATTCTCTTAATTCTGTGCATAATGTTATGCCAATTCTGGATTCCATTTCAGATATCAATGCAGCAGCAGTTTCCTCTCAAAAAAGTAAGTTCAGTTTGATACTTTCTTAATTTTTTATAATGAGTGATAACATCCTTTGATATTTTGTGAGGTATTTGTTTGCACTGCTAAACTTGTAATTTAAAATAGGGGATATATAAAGAGTAATAAGATGTTTTCTGTAATGATTGCTAAAACTTTCTGTCTTTAATCTTCCAGCTTCGCACCATGGGCTTGCAGCAGTAGCTGTTATAGTAACGTTGGTGATGCTGGCTGCTCTTTCCACTTTCTTGTGGTGCCTGTACAAGCAGAACAACAGGCTCTTCAGTAGGATACTCTGGGTCAGAAATGCCTATTTTCCACAGATTAATTCTGATGTTCCTGCTTTGGAAGAGAGCATCCTTATTTCTGATTTTGAGAGAAGTGAGAACAATTAGTTGTTCAGGAGGACCAGGCAATCACTTCTTCCATGCTAAAGACCGAATTCTACAGGACAGCACAGTTCTTGAGCCAGGCACAACCTCAGACCAGCTCATCCTCTCAGGGTTTTGGGTCATGGACAAGCTGACAAGGGAAGGCAAAGAAGATAGCTGAATGCCACCATGAGAGTGGGGAATGTGAGAAGGAACCGCTGCCTGCTCCTCCCCTCCTGCGACTCGGTGCAGCCCCATTTCTGAAGCTTCCCAAGGCTTGTGTTGGACGGAGAGGAGCAGAGAACCCAATGGCCCTGCTCACACCAGCACTGGTCTTCACGTGTCCTCCATACCCAGCGTGCTGGGGTCACCTCCACTATCTGCTGCAATGGAACAAAGCAGGGGGGACCTCATTCTTGTTCCACAGGTGTTGGGTGTGCTAGACTTGCTCCCATCCTGGTGGATGGACAGGCGCTCTCGCATGGCAGTGGTGCCCTGGGCCTAGGCGTGTGGATCCTTCCGCAGAATTAAGTGCGGATATGCTGGGGAGTCATGGAGAGATGGGCTTCCCTGGGAAGAGCCAGGAGCTCCAGCTGCTCCATTGCCGTGCCACCTGGAAGCGTGCATGTGGCCCATCCTGCTCAAGCCACGGGGCACCCGGCATTTGCTTCCAATTTTTTCATTCGGGGATGCGTGGGCTGTAACGTTTTGATTTTACACACTGCAGAGTCTGTCCATGAACCAGCATTTAAAATTCAGCCCTGAGTTTAGGAACCCTGAAACATCTTTCAGGGTTTTATGGGACATTTTTTTAATAACACCTACTCCTTCTGCTAAAAGAACAAAGCTATTTTTCAGACAGTGGAATATTGCCAGGTGGTTTTCCAAGCTCGTAGAGAGAGGAAGTCACTTCTGATTTAGGTGTTTCAGAGTTTACCAAATTAGTCTCAGCGTCTGTATTTGGTATTACAGAATAAATTAGCCGAGATATAATGTCTTATCCAAAAGTTAGTATATTCACCGGAGATGCTTCCAGTGTCCTGTTAAAGATTTAACTGTGAAATCTTTTGCCTAGTTTATGATCAGAAATTATGCCCCATCAACTACTTCTAATCCTAGTTTTAGTCGGTATCTCTTTGAACACATTTGTTACGCGTGTTGCTGAAGTAAATTGCCTTTACTGTTCACCTCCAGTATTTCTGCAAGCAGTATTAATGTGCATGTACTTAATGTACATTTGAGCCTCTACTTTAAAAAGTTAAGAAGGGTATGTGGGAGAGCTGCCTTTGCAATCCCAAAGGGTGGTTGTGTCTCTAGTCCTAGTGCAATAATTCAGGTTAATAGACCACCAAATGGAATTCTTCATGTTCCATAATCATACTAAGGTGCTAATGGAGCAGGCTTTCCTCTGAGAAAGCAACTAGAATATTTTTTTTTCTGTGAAATTTCACTGAGAAATTGTTCTTTAGGCAGATGATTCTGAAAGATCCTGGTTCCAAGTCTATGCATTACCTCAGTGACAGTGGTCTAGGACAAAAACACTCTCTGTATGGGACTGCTACCTCTTTAACCTTCTAGCCATGTTCTTAAAAAACGCCTGAAAGGTTTGGGAGGATTTTGAGTGTGATGTGGGATTTTTTTTTTTTCCTCCTGTATGGAAGAACACATTGTCAGTAATGAAGTTTTACCTCAGAAGGGAATTATTGTCCCTTCGGCCATCTCTAAAAGCTGCTGTGAAGGGCTGTGTTTACTGTAGGGTGTTCTCCTTGTTTATTTTAAGATTGCTCGTTCTGACAACTTTGCAAGAACATGAAAATGCAGGTACATTTGTGACAATTAAGCTAGCAGGCGAGGCCAACCGGAATTGTTTTACATCATATTTATACCCAGGAATGGCTTGCTTTTAGTTACATGTCACGTGACTGTATAAGCTGGCTAATTTTAGAAACGGGAAAATCGCTTATTCATGTCATAATTATGCACAAGGCTAATGTTATTTTCTTGGTGCCTAGTATATTTTTGTGCTGGTTTACAGAATTTAAAATGATGTCAAAGAGGCTATGGAGAACTGGAAATATGGAAAAATCCCAGTTTAATTATCAACTTATTGTTTCCTGTAACTTTCATGGATGTAGTAGGTATTGTACATTCTTACTCTGATGCTTCCCATCATATAAAGCATACATAGCTTTTCTATATATATTTTCTCTAATGGTTCCGTACATTCATCTTCAGTAGTGTTTTCAAAGTTTGGTCTTAAGCCTGTAACTGTTGGACTGTATGCAAAGTCCATTATTAGACTTTGCATATTGCAGCTTTTTATCATCAGCAGGTTTTTACATCATCTGCTGTGATAGCTTTGTTGTCCTCTCTCCTTTCCCTTGAAGATTCGCCCTACTTATCATTTATCTATTCGCCCTGTAGTTGGAGGAGCTTAAACCAGCATCTCTCCCTTCATCACATTCACTGACAAGTGCAAATTCTGCCTTTTTTCAGCAGGGAGAGTGGGTTACAGGATGTTTCCTGTTTCAGAGAGTGAGCTCAGAGGACATGAGTGTATCAGGCTATACTGCTGCTACCAAATTATGCGTACTTTGTCAGACTTGCATTTTGTGAAGGGCAGTAAAAACTTGTCATAAGGCATTTTATCAATTTTAAGGTATATTGCAATCATTTTAATATATTTGAAAGGGCATTTATATAAAAATAACCTTACCCTCAAAATAGTGATTACTGCCTAACGTTAACTCTGATGTAAATAATATTAGGTTAAGGAAAAAAAAATTGAAACAGTATTTTCTTCAGACTTTGTGAGAGCTGTGAGGGAGTATTTAAAATCTGTCATCACTTAACTTTATAATTGCAGGCGTTGCAAGAATGTAATCATGGCTTGTTTTCTATTCCTGTTCTGGATTTTTATTACCGTTCTAAGCTTCTCTGATCGTTGGTCTCTTGTCCTATTCCTAACCTGAGAATTTGGTGAATAAATTTTCATGCTGACCTTGATAGTAGTGGCAGGGAGGTTCACTGTATTATTTCAACTGGAAAATTAAAGCGTGGCTAGTAAGTCCTGTGGTTGCTTGGAGTCTTTCCCGGCTTTAGGTAACTGCTTTACTTTCGGGCATTGTGGCAGCAATTCTCAGGCTTTGCAGTGGGGTCAGTTCCTCTGGACTCTACCCTGTTGTGCTGGTCTCCACTCTGGAGACCCACTCGGTCCGCACTGGTGGACATGGAGGCACAGCCAGTCCCTGGGACCCTGCTCTCTTCTGTTGTGAGCAAGGGGGAAAATGCTGCGGATGGTGCAGGAGCTCCCCTTGCAAAGCACTTGCTGCATCCGTGCAGTGGCTTCACCAGCACCAGCAGGTAAAAATTGCCTGTTCCTGGGTCGTGGCCACCCCCTTGAATCACTCAGTGAGAGGGAAGTATGAGGTATTTTTGTACCACTCATGTTGGGGCGGATGGGGTATCCCTGCCAGAGGTAGATATGCTCAGGCCAACATATGACCCAACATCATCTGCTGCAGATTAGGATTTGGCAAAAAAGACTCTATATCTGTGCTTGCAGGCTGTGACTCAGGGATGAACGTGTGTAATGACCCCATGAGCAGTTCTGTAGCGCCTCTGAGAGGGAGAGGGATGCTGGTCTTGGCCATCACTTCCTGGCTGGCTGGGGCTGCACGGGGACACTTGCACACTGGAGGTGCCCAGCATGATGGTGTGGAGGGAAGGGCTGTGGTGCAGAGCTGCAGGGGACACCCAGGTCCTGAGCAGGGTGCAGGTGGAGGCTGCTGGGTGCTGCACTGTCCTCCTTGGCTCAGGCAGCTTCCTCGCTTTCTCTCACATGGGCACTCTTAGAAGCTCCACCTCTGTGGTGAAGCTTTGGTCTGCACGACCCCGTTTGCAGGAGGAGGAGGAGGATTTTGCACGGTGCTGGCAGCTTGGCAAGACCTGCTCTGGGAACTATCCTGGCTCTCCCACCCCATTCCCAGGGCACAAATTCCAGGGTAATTTAGCCCCTTGCTTTTTTCTTCCTTCCATCTAGTCACTGCCTCCCTTAATGTTGTAACAAGCATCCCCCGTTTCTTGTAATAACAAACCCACTGAACTGCAATCCACGGCATACCCTTCCTCCAAACCACATCTATGTAAGCAGAAATTTTTGGTTAAAAGCTGAATTCTACGTGTTCAGCAACAGTTTTATAAATCCTCAGCTCCAGAAAGAGAGAGGCGAATCCTAATCTCTTGCGGTCTGATGCAGCCCCCATGTGTAAGTAACTGTCAGGAGAAAATTCTCTAGCATTAGCTGTTTTTAAATGGCATGAATCAACCCCAAGCCTTGTGCTTGGAAATACAGCCTGTCTCAGTGTGGCCAGTAGATGGTAGTGGTACACGCAAAGATGACAAACTTCTAAGTGTCTGCAAAGCTAAAGAAGGGTGTAGGGATCTCCTTCTGATTGCTTTGAAACTGCGTTAAATGACTAACAAATCCCCCAGGTTGCAGAGCTCTGCAAATATGAGTGTCACTTCATCACAGCCGTAAAATTGCAGAGCTGTTTCATGGTAAGTTTTTAAGTCTCAAAAGCCATTCTCATTCTCTATGAAAATGGAAGGTAAAAGGTTCTAAAACACAGACTGCCTTAAAATACTCGGTTAGGAGGGGATAATTCAAGTCTCATGGTTGGTAATTTCTTTTTTTGTTTAGTGAGTGACGGAAAAATCCATCTGGGTTTCTGAACATTAAATAAATAAAAACATTTATCATTGTGATAAGTTTTAGTTCTGATCAACTGGAGGGTAATTCACTGAACACATTCTAGAGAGTTTCTTTTTTTTTTAAATGCATTTTGTTTTTATGCTTTATTTCTTTACTGTTTCAGTGCAGGCATTTACTTACTAAATTGTTATGTGGGAAAAGGAAAACGAAGATAGAAAAGAATCATTATACCTTTTTAAATCTATTGCATAAGTAGTTACTGCACTGCTGAAAGTAGATCTAATTTTTTTTCTCTTCGATTAATTCCATAAGGAGCTCAGGCCTTAAATGTTGCTGATCCCTTTCCATATCCATTACTTTTATGCAGAAACTGACTCTGATCCGGATTCTCATCTTGGAAGCTTAACCTTAAAAAAGGAGCTGGCAAACAGCATGCAGCAAGACCTCACATTGGAGTTTGCATTTTATAATCTTGTTTCCTGGGATTGCAGCTTTTCTGTCCTTTCCTGATCGTTCTGTGACGAAGCAACTGCAACTGTTTACAGAAATATAGTGGACCCTGTGGGCAGGAGCGCCTGCAATCACCATCTCCTGGTTATTTATTTATAACCAGGCGATGGCAGAGGGCTGTCAGTTCCCGGCCTGCGCGTGCCAGCACAGGAGGACAGGAAAGGCGCTGTCTCTTGATCAGACACATCGAGGTGTAAGGACCTGTAACAGCCACTGCTCACGGTGTTTGGTCACTAGTTATGTTAAGGCCATCCCCAACAGCTGGGGGAACTGATAGAGCAACAACAGCTGGGACAAAAAAGTGCCTCAGACTGTACTTACACAGTCATTTGAAAACCAAAATTATGCCTGTAGCTTCTCAGTTCTGTGTAAATGGGTGTTTATCTGCAGAAACAGAAAGGTTCCTCTCATGCTGCCCAAAAAAACTCTCCGCAATTTTTATGTATTCAATTTTTAGTATTTACTAAAAGCATTCTATCTCTGTACCTACTTGTGCAGGTTACTGTTCTGCAGCATGATCTTACCCTTTTGAACCGGGTAATAACCCACTGAAGCTCCCTGTCATTCCCTCCTGCTGCAAATCCTGCATGTACTTGGGTGAGACATGCCGGGAAGCCTTTGCTGGGAGCAAACTTGAGCTTGTGCAGAGGGATAAAAGCTGGAGGAAAGACAGACTCTGTCTGGTCAGCAGCTTGGGGCTGCGTGGCTTTGCTAAGGCTCGCTTTGGGGCCGCGTCCCACAGCTTGACGCTTTCGGCATCGTTGAGGTATGTGAGCACAATCTCCAGCATTGCATGTCACCAGTGAGATGGGGTACGTTACCTTTTGGTATAAAGTAAAATAATATTCTCAGTTAATTCGATATGGCCCTAGCACAACTGACATACAACTCTGATTTATTTGCACTGTTTTTCTTAAAATGTTTTTTTGGTGAAATGCACTGACTTGTTGCTTATCTGAAACCTGATGCTTACCCGACCTAAGCATTGCATTTTCTATATCCAAATTTCAGTAATATCAAAAGTATTTTGTAAAAGGTCAAAAGTTCATGAAAACAATGTTCAGAGTCAAACTGAAAAGTTTTAAGAGCAGATTTTGAAGATAGTGTTGTGCATATGGGGCCTCCCGTGGGTCCAAAAGCTGTAAGATACCTTTCAGATAAACATGGAGATGCATCAAAGCAGCTCCTGGATGCTCCTTTGGAAGGACCGGATCAATAGTAGCCTTACAGTTGTCTTTATCTTTTAAATAATTATAGAAAAAATAGCAGACTGACTGTTCCCCCTGCACTACACCCAGCAATGCAGCCACGGTGTCAGCTTTATCAGTGCATCCTCCTGAGGGCTTTGCATGGATGAACCTGGCACTTCTGGATCAGCGCTAACCAGCACCATGTCTCTCTCTCAGGTGTAGTAAACTATGGAAGCGGAAGGAAAAACAACTTGGGCTTCTTTCTCCATCCTGTCCTATATCATCCATCCTCCCATTAGCTTCCACAACCTAGTCTGGGTTGATAATTTATATTTTAATTATCACTGTTCACAAACAAATTTGCTCCTTTCTGATAGAAGGCTGTAAAGTGGGTGTGGGCTAAGTTTTTATCCTTCTTAAGGTAGCTTGCATACTTGTTTTAATCTAGCACAAAGCCGAGACAGAGAAAGGGGAAGATGGAGAGCAAATCCTATCACTGTGAAAGCAGCAGCATAAAGGCAACGGATCAATTCTTCTTGCTGCCTGGGAAGACTGGAACAAGAGGTAACTGACTGAAACCACAGCTGGGAAAATGTTATAACCATGGGAATAGCTGGACAAAACTATCAGCAGGCAACAGAAGTGGTGGGATCGCTCTGAGCAGCAGTGTGCACTGTGAAATTTGATAACTGTGATTTAGAAATAAACAAATCAATCCGCTACCACTGTGGGAGAATAGATGGATTTAAAGCACTACTGCCTGTCGCTTCCAGCTCAGCCGGAGCCCGATCAGACAATCCTGATCTGAAAACACTGTATGTGTGTGGGGGGGGAGGCAGCAGCCCCCTGTCACGCGTGGGAACCGCGTCCCTCTGCCTCCCCTTGGGGAATGTAATAGTGAAAACAGTAACTTCCTGCGCCAGCAGCACTGCCAGGCTCAAAACCTGACATACAACTGACTCATTTTGGTGGACTTTTAAATTTCTGTTTCTAGCTCTGCGTGGGGCTGCTAAAAGTGAATCAGTGGTGACATCTAGATCAACAGTGTCTGGGTAGACTGTACAGCCCACAACATTCAAATTAAAGCCTTAAGCTATGAGAAATAGCAGGAATGCTTGCCCCTGGTTCTACCCGGGATCATAAAATCAGTAAAAACTTCCTTTTTAAAACAGGATGCATTTGATGAATTTCCATAGCAAAACATGAGAAAAAAAATATATTTTGATGTGGGTGTTTTTCAAAGTCTCTGGGAATAGAGCAATAGAGCAAACCCTGCACCCGGGCTTCCTCTGCAGGATTTGCTCCCAGGGTCGCTCACCTCCCTGGGACGAGTGCTGCCCTGCTGTGTGCCGTTGTGCAGAGGCTGCTCTTTCTCTGCAGCACGTGGGTGAAAGGAG